AAAAAAAAAAAAACAGGAAATAAATGTAAAAATGAACATCAACAAGTGTAGAAGAAGTGAGTACACTGTAGCAGCGTTAAAGCTTTGCTGAGAAAATCTTGAGGGAAAAGCATGTGCTTGTTACAGATGACAATCACCAATGACAGCTTGGAGAACTGTAGCCTCCCATTTTAGAGAGAAGTGACAGCTGCCAAAATAACTGAAATGACAATTACTAGTGCTGGTTTAGTTCAGCATTGTCACAAAGCCAAGAAGTAGCCCCCTTCCAATTTCAGTGCAAATTTACAAGCTTCCTTCAGTATGCAAAAAACACACATTTTCCATTTTTTATTTCATGGTAGCACCTCTTTCTCTGTATTACAACTTTCCACCTTGTTGCCTTTTACTACTTTCTGCTGAGGATATATAGTGATCAGAAAGGTCAACATGGTGGAAGGGTGATACAGGGGCACAGTAGCAAAGAGACTAGCATGAACGGAATGCTGTTCCAAGAAAAAAAATATGCACTCACCCATCTCTGAAGATCACGTCTCAGAGGCAAAACTCTACAAGAGAGGGAACTCCAACTAGAAATCCTTCCCCAGTTGCAGTCAGCCCTTAAATGAGGTCTAAGAGAGGTGCAGCCAGGCTCCACCCCTTCTGGTCACAAAGCTGAATTGCCTTCACCTGTGCTCCCAGGGATTACCAGGTCCTTTCCCCAGGTAATCAATCAGTTGTTCAGGCTGTACTCAACAGTTACCATACAGGACCTTAGCTCCATTACTGGTAATCTTTGTCACCTCATGGATGACAGCTTGTCTGTGCCTTCAAATAAGCTCCTACAGATTCTACCCCTCTCTATCTCCTAGTGCCAGGGAAAGATGCCCTCTTATATAGGAGAAAAAGAGGCTGAGATCTTTTTTCACTGCCACAAAGACTCTTTAACCCTCATCTCCCACTTTTCTCTCCTGAAAGACTGATTTCTGCATCAGTCTGTGAAAAGATTTCTGTGAAAAAAAGAAACAGACCTCTGTCCTCCATCACTGAGCTCCTTAATAGAGCTCCCCTCATGGACAAATAACAAGTAAAGTAAAAAGATTCTTTACAGTTATGTGGAACAAGATTTGCCATGAACTTACAAAAATACTGACATCACTATCTATTCACATGTGCACATGTGAGGGATCCCTGATATTATTTAAGTATTGTAAAGGTAGTAAGTCTCAAATATAATATAGAAATTTCCAATTGTAGATGAAATAACAATTTCCTTGGGAAAAAAAGCAACAACAACAAACACAGCAGTTATCTGAATTAATTTTTCTTTCTTTTGTCCATCCTGAGCTATATGTTCTTGAGTGTGTTAAACTTAGGAGATGTTACAGCTTCTTTTCTTGCACTAGAAGATAGAGAAAAAAGAGGAGGGCTGGAAACACAGTTACTGTCACATATTTAAGGAGATCAGGAGGTAAGAAACTATAGAAGTGATGCAGCAGGAATATTGAATATTCACAGTCTTTCAGGAAAAGCACTTCTTTATATATTTTCAATATTATTATATTTTTTATCTTTAATCTTTCTAGTCAAGTAGACTCAAAAAGTATCAAAGCAGACTTGATCCCTCACAGAGTAGAACAGAAGGGCATTCACCTGGCAGAACTGATGTTCAGCTCCGGTAGACAATTATGATAAAATATTTAAAAATGCAGTGATGTATAAATGCTCTCATTCTCATGCAGTCCTTTTGTTCTCTCTTCATGGCCCAATTAATAATCAATTATTTGAAATGAGTGTAGAAGAGCTTTAATTCCCCTTTGTCTGAGGACAACTTGTAGCTCCAGGACAGTACTTCAAGTTGAAAGTTTCATGGAGGGAAAATTTTCCCAGCCCTTTTAAAGCAGCTTAATTACAAGACTGCTATTCATTGCCTTCATTATTTTTTTCTGTGAGTTGACTATGGAGTGTAGATGTGTCATGCAAGAGTGTGAATTTGTTGAGAAATAGCATGGCTGAAAGTAAGATGTTTTAGCCTTTGATGCTCTACTGCCCATAGTTTTCCATGGGTCACTTGTGGTTTGAAAATGGACTTTCAGCAGTGAAAAATGGATTCTTGGCCCATAAGGAAATACTTCTTCTCACAGTTGTATACCAGGTATGTGGGAACCACTCTCGCATGAGATTCAGGCCACAGGAAGGCCTCTGCTGTCTGTTTCATAGGACAGCCCCACTGAGAAATTGCAGAGAAAAGCTCTGTCCACAAAATCCCTTAAAGTGAGGTTTTATGACAAGTTGTCTTCTACTAAGATTGTTAGCATAACAAATGTCATGCAAGTGTCATGCAAATGTCCATCAAAAAAGAACAATATTGATAAGCTTTTTTAGGGAAACTCAGCGCAGATTATCCTTCAAGGTCAATTTGTTTCCCACTGCTATGATTGTTTGGAGGACATTTGCTATTTATTTATCTTCTATTTATGAGAATAGAAGTAATTTGGCTTAAAAGCTAAATCAAGTCTAAGCTTTTCTCAAGTAAAGAACGGTGGATGTTTGAAAATAACTTTCATATAAATTCATGTGCTAGTATCTCTTATCAGTAGAGAAGACAGAGGTACACCCTTTTTTGATTCATTTCTAATTATCTGACAGCTAATATTTTCAACACTTTCTAGAAAAATTAGTAATTCCACATAAGCCTAGGTTAGATATCAGTCTCATTTGGCTG